GAGCGATGATGTCATCACAAACATGCACAGGCACATACAGACGTTCCTGTACGTATGTGTATGTTTGTGTCTGTCTTTCTGTCTATCGTTCCGTCTTCCGTGAGTCTCGAAGTTTGTCTGACTGTTATTATGTTAGTGCCTTCGTCCTGTCTGTGTGTGTGTTTGTGTGTGTATGTGTGTATTCTGTGTCTTTGTGTTATGATTATTACATGTTATTGTCAAGCGGTAACAGAACCAAATTACACTAATCCAAGTATCCATCTTCCAAAACAAACATAGCAAAACAGTAGAATCGGCACAGTCGGATCGGAGAGTTCTAGAGTTGGAGCAACTATGAGGATTGGAATGTTCTGTATCTTACTGTATGATGATTGTCTGTGTATCTCTGCGTAATTGTCTGTGTCTGTCTGCGTGTTTGTGCTTAGGCGTATGTATGTGGTGTATGTGTATGTGTGTATGTGTGTGGCATGTGTATATGTATATAAATCTAATTTAGACTAAGTCAAAGAAGGAGTTTTGAGCTAAAAATTCGGTTACTTGAGGGAATTTTATGGAGAGAAAGGCGCAGTTACGACAAGCTCATAGCAGCCTTACAAAGACGTCTGGAGTAAATTACTGGAAATCGGTCTGCAACCTGATATGAGCTTGAATCTATTAATAATTTCATAATTTTTTAGATTTCAGCCAACTTATTCCTTATTATCAGTAAAAATTGATCATCTTATAATGTGCACTAGCAGTAGAATTTGAGTGGTTCTGACTCTCACATTCACAACTTTGGGAAAAGGGGTATCTGGTGTGACCATAACTTCAGTGTAGTTTAGAAGGACTGTCAAATAAACCACTTTAGAATAAGTCTATCCTCTTCTCCACAAAACTCCCATCTCCAAGAGATAACTCTCTAGACTCTCGCAAATTGGCGCGTTATGGGTAAAATTTCGGCCTCTGACAGCACTTGAAGCGTACTTGTAAGCTTTGCAATAAAGCAGCCTGTAAGCAGTCAATAAAACATATGGTCAAACCACAGGAGAACTCGGGGCAAGCAAAAGGACGGGCTTAGCTTCAGTGATAGGCCTTGCTAGGCTCTGTTCCCGATACTGTCCGTTCACCCTTCAAAGAGCAAACTAAACAAGTTTGATTAAGACTAAAAACTCTGTCAGGCTAAAAACTTCCAGTGATTATCTGAGTTTGTTGACTATTTAAGTCCACATGTAAATAAATTCGGTGACTGTTATCGTGATAAATAACATATCAGATGAGTTGGGGGTTCTTTTATCACTCTGAAACTGTTGTGACACCCCTTAAAGGCACAGTTCACGATAATTCAATGGGCGGGAACGTCAGTGGCCTTCCCGCCTCTCAATCGATGTCAGACGGTTAGACGACTGTCGAGACAATGCAGATTGCAACTACTCGTTCTATGACCCACACACAATCAGCTGATAACCGAGTAATGTGGCAATGTTTTTTTCCCATTCTTTTCTCCTCTATTATACTTTTTGCTGCTGCGATTCCTTATTTAATTTCCTACTCCTAGAAGCTGAAAAAGGTGAGCCACGTCTGCAGTTACTAGGGTTTTTTGTTTACTTATGCTTATGAGTGCATGAATTTTCGCTTACCATGGTCTGTTATTCGCACCAGGACCCACACGTACGCAGTGAGACACATTGTATAGCTCGTCCAAACGCCCACTCTTCTTCATTTTTCTGGTCTCATTCTCGTCCAGCCCCCTTTTT